TTCGTAGGGTTTCTCCCCGGAGTGAATTCTCTGATGTCGCACCAGGCTTAATTTCCAAGTGAAAAACTTCCCACATTCTGGACACTCTCCCCTTCCCGGAGCAGTGTGCTGACTCTCATGTTTCCGAAGAGAGGAACTTTCAGGGAAGGTTTTTTCACACGCAAAGCATCGGTAAGACTTTATTTCTTGGTGATCCTTCTCATGGAGCCAAAGCTGGGACTTCTGAGGGAGGCCCTTCCCGCCTTGCCCGAACTTGTAAGATTTCTCTCCTGGGTGGATTTCCTGACATTGAAGCAGCTCTGACCTCTGAGACAAGCCCAGTCTTTTCCGTCCGTTCTGGCATTCCTGAGGTCTCTTTCCCTGGTGGATCCGCTGATGAGCTCCAAGGTCCGAGCCTTTAGCAAAACGCTTCTTGCACGCTCCGCATTTGTAAGGCCTCAGTCCAGGATGGCTCCTGAGATGCTTGGCAAAGGCCCACACTTCAGGAAAGGATTTCCCACATGTCGAACACAAATGGGATCCATTGCCCGTGTGCAGCTTCCGGTGGATCAAAAGGAGGGACCGGTAAGCAAAGGGTTTCCCGCACTGGGAGCACGTGAAGAGTCTCTCCCGGTTCCTCTGAGGGGGATTTTGCTCAAAGGGTTTTCCCCGCTGCATCGTTTCTGGAGGCTGCTCACTTGCAGTGCTTGGCAACCAGAGGCAATTTGTAAGCAAACCTTTGGTCAGAGGTTTTCCCAGGCACCTGCGGGATGAAGGAAAAAGAACTGAAGAAAAGACAAAGATTCATTCTTCATTCAGATCCCCAAAATATCCCAAACAATAGTTAAGGGGACCTGACCCATGGAGGGATACCCAAAACCTCAATTTCATTCCATCTGAAAAAATATGCTGGTATTCTCCCTATGGAGCTGATTCCCCTTTCTTAGCAATAGAGGAGGGATGGCCAACAGAGTCCCTGTAGTTCCCCATTTGTCTGCCTGAACTGGGCCTATCTCCGCCTTTTCCATTCATTCAGTTGGGGGTAGTGGTGGTGATGCAGATGAGAGACCCACTGCAAGGACCCCCACATAACTTGTATGTGTCAAGTGGGTCAATATATGAACAATTTTTATTAACATGGAGAAGATGGATTGTTTATATTCAAAAGAAGCACAGAGTGGTGGAATATAATTTAGGTTTTCAGTAAACTTGTTTTTTTTATTTTTTAATATATTTTACCTACTCATGTAGACTAATATATTTTGTGGAGTTAGAGATTTTAATAT